TAAACTCATTTAAAAATTAGGGTATTAAAGAAGTTCATCGAAACATCTTTAAAAATGGCTTATCAATTGATGAACTAGTCATGGCAGTTTTTAATTTTAATTTATTTATAACTTTTAATTATAGTTTCGCCTTGTTGTATTCCAAATCAAACGTTCAGACTCACTTGAGCAAATTTCACTGATGTCTACAAATACAGCAAAGTGTTGTTTGTCTTTTTTTTCTTGCCATTCTCTCTCAGATCATCATTTCTGATTCCATTTCAATCCAGAGTAGACGAAGAGCCATATATCGTCGATTGTGATTTTTTTTCCAAATAAATGAAACCTGGTCATTGCAAGAATTGCTGATAAAAATCAAAATTGAAAATGTTCCTTTCAATTGGGTAGTGTCGTTTGCAAAACAGTCCCTGTTTATGGACTTTTACAACTGTATCTTTCCACACCCAACTGCTCTCGTTTCGTTGGGCTAATCACACAGTATGTATAGTGGGCATTAATTTCGGAAAAATTAGCGTAACATCAAAACAGTGAATGTTGTAACGCGGATTTTTGGTCCGTACGTAGCCTAGATTCGTCTTGAAATTTCAAGGTGTTGCAGTGAATCAAACCTTAATGAAAGTTTCAGACATTATTATATACATCATGAAGGTTATGTGATAAGCGTTAAAAGAATCGAGCCGTTTTAGAGATATACAGAAAAGCACTTAACATCAAAGTTTCGAACAAAGTTGCACTTAAACAGGTGGTGAGAAAACAGGTTAGTTTTCAGGATCGCAAGAAAGGAAATACACCACAATTTCCTCGCATCAAAATATGCATTTTGACGAACTTCAATTCATAGTTAATCACTGATGAAAATTTGTGGCAATAGGACAAGGACAAAATCTCTTTTAAGGCGATTGAAAAGCTTCGGTACGGTCTGCGAAAAATATTCTTAGGGAGCTGGCTTTTTATTTGTTAGAACTGGCCAGCCAGCTGACCTATGCCCGAACCAGTCAGTTTTAAAGTGAAATAGGCTTTTTCCAAGAGTTTTTGCTGAAAAACCATCCCCTTCGTGCATACAATTCAGGAGTTGATTGGTTTCATTAAATGGGAAATTATCATTGCGACGGGAATGGTCTGGCAGGTCAGTTAAAACGAACAGAAACGCCCTTAGCTAAAATGGATTAGTTTTGAAAGAAATTGTGGCAGCCTCATTCATAGCGTTCTCTCCTACCCGTCCCTACGGAGCGAGAGAGAGACCCTGGTTGTGTCTGGTCACGTGGCTCCAGAACAAAAAATAATTCCGAGGGAGGAGTCCTTTGTCTCGTACGTTTTCACCGTTCACACAATGATTGCAAGAGCAAGGTAGATTTCAGTGCTTATAGGCTACAACTACAACTATAACTGAAATTTGGGAAATTTCTGCCTAAACAGAACAATCACCAGATAAACAAGCGAATTACCGACATTACCAGGGGAGGAATAAAAACCTTGCGTTGTCGCAGTTTAACCAATGAAAAACACTAAAATTTACGACCTTGAATTTTACTTAAGCGTGTTTATTTATTGAAGGGAAAATCCCTGTTTGTTGAAGTGGCTGGTAATCGGCCCAAATCAGTACATGCAAAACCTACACCATTAGCGGTAACAAAACACAGCAGTTACGTTGAGAGCAGAGGATTCATTTTACATTCACGTTCAAAATAATATTTTAGCACTAATGACTTTACGGAAAGCTGTAGTCTGAAATGTTAGCTTTCTCCAACCCCTAACCTTTTTTTTATGATGTAGCAATAGAAAAAGCGAATCGTTTTTGGTGGTGAATAGAGGGAAAAAATTATGATATAGTATGGCATACCGAAAGGATGACCAAAACGCGACACTGACAACAGGAAATATAGTCAACTCCCGATAACTCGAACCTTCAAGGGAAATCGAAAAAAGTTCGAGTGTCGGGAGCTCGAAGAAGATAGCCGGGAGTGAGGAAATAACAGTTTTTGCTGCACAGTGAACATTTCAATCACATTAAATTGTAGAAATGTTAAGCAAAAACTGAAAGAGACTTCTAGATTATAATTAAAATCAGGTTTTAACGTAACAAAACATAGCCTAAATGGAGCATGCGTTTTACTGTTTGCGAAGTAAAGCTGTTTCACCACAGGGAGCCCACACAATGTGTGTGTAGCCGATTTTTTTTTTTTTTTTTTTTTTTTAATTGTAAATGTACCGGTTTTCCCTTTTTTTTTTCATATAAAACGATTTATCGTTAAGTTTTTTTTAAAAAAAATTTTAAAAAAAGTTGAAATACATTAATTTTCTTTGGGTTTAAAAGACGGAAGAGACAACGCTTGAATTCCATTAAAACCACAGCCGCGTACGCGGCCTCTTACTTAAAGGGGAAAAGTTAAACAAAAAAGAGAAGAGAGAAAGAAAATATATTTAAAATCTGATTTTAACATAAAAAAAAAAAAAATAAAAAAAAAAAAAAAAATAAAAATTACAAAATAAAGTTTTTTTAAAAAAAGGAGCCCACACAATGTTTGTAAAAAAGATTTTTTTTTTTTTTTTTTTTTTAATAGTAAATGTACCGGATTTACCGTTTGTTTCAGCTATATAACGATATATCGCTAAGTATGTCTATAAATCAATGTTAAATGAACGTTGAATTACTTTAATTTCCTGTGGTATAACTGTTCCTAATAATGGAATGAACAGTTCTATTATTACGAACAGTAAACTGCGAATTCAAAATCCTTCAAAATTGCTCAAAAAACCTATTTGAGGCAAAAGGAAGACGTAATATACCACAAGTAATTCAACGTTTATTTAACATTGATTTATAGACATACTTCGCGATATATCGTTATAAGTGATGCAAACGGTAAATCAATTTGAAGCAATTTGGACCAATCGGCTTCAAAATAAGCCGGTAGCGATAATCGAGATATAAAAACAGTGTTCAGTGCGTCTCACTTTGCAGACTAGTGCTTCTATCGGCTACACTGTATGTGTGTCGAAAGTCCGTTTCAGTTCTTGCTTTTTAACCTGAAATTAACCTTAGAATGTATGTCACACCAGGACAAACCCGCCGATGGCCAGGATCAAAGACTGCTTGTTGCTGTTGTCATTTTCTTTTAGTTCGGTTTGGTTTGGTTTTGTTTATTATTTTTGTTGTTGTTTGCTTGTTTGTTTGTTTGTTTGTTTTTTCCACCCTCCGGCCGACATAATACGCATTTAAAAATAAAACAACTTAAGACATATATGCTAAAAAGGTAAGAAGGCGAAAAGGAAAAAAGAAAGAAAGAAGAATAGTTCTAAAAGACAGGATATTCACGGCGGGTGACTTATCCAGTTCCGAATCCGCCCCACACTACTTAACTTGAGTAGCGGTATTTCTAGCCTAGTTTCGCGAAGGTATGCGAGACAATTATTCCTACTTATAAATAGTATCTTCTGCTTGACTTTTTTTTTTTTGCGACGGATTATATTGGTAACCGCCTGAAAACACAATATCAAGAAAAACATGTCAGCCTTAATTTGAAAGAAGATAGAATCGGACCGGCGGTGTATTAATCCTAATGTTAGGAATCCCTTGTGGAAACAACATATTGATGATGTACAAGGCAGATTTCTAAATCATTGGGAAAGTATATAACTGATCAAGCTTTTGCCTTCATTTTAAGTTAAAGTTCTTTACCCATTATATTTCATTGTCATGGTCTTAAGTTAGTAAGAGACTTTTTATAGTGATAAGCCACGGTTTCAAATTGAGCTTCCTCGCTAGAAAATATACCTGATCTTCCAATCACGTACTACATGAACAAACTGTAAAGTTAATATTTCCTAAAACAAATAAATATAATAAACTAAACGAATTAAAATGATTTTATTTTATTTAATTGTGGAAATTGCACGAAAGCGAAACACCAGCTGCAGTGTCAAAGTATAGAAATACTAGTAATGGATTTACTTCAATCCGCTAAATTAAAAGAACTCAGTCTTAAAATGATATAGATACAACGACACGGTGGGGATAGCAAGCTTAAAACCGTAAAAATTTCAAACTTTGAGCTTAACGAACTATTAAGAAATTACCCAGTTGGTAAAAGGCTAGAGTCGATATTGTTTGCGAACAGGAACCTAAACTTACCGTAGCCCTCGGCAAGTTAAATCATGGACAATAGAGTACCGAAGTGTGACGTCATAGAAAATGAAATTTGTGAAATTATGGGATTTGTTAAGATATTCCGAAGGAACAACGTCTAAGACGCCTACTCGCCAAAAATTAGCAATTTGGAGCAGATTGTCTCTGAGATATTAACCCAGTTATGCTCCGATGACTCCATACAAATCCTTCTAAATCTTACCTGGTTCCTAATCTTATGAACCAAGCCAAATTTAGAAGGATTTGTATGGAGTCGTCACAGCATAACTGGGCTAATATCTCAGAGACAATTTGCCCCTAATTGCTAATTTTTGGCGAGTAGGTGTCTTAGACGTTGTTCTTTCAGAATATCATAACAAATCCCATAATTTCACAAATTTCATTTTTATGACGTCATCACTTCGGTACTCTATAAAATAGAAACGATCAAGAGACCAACAGAAGCTAATAAACTTTGTTTTGTGTTGGTTTTCGACCCGTAAAATAGAAGATATGTAATATATCGTCCGAATGATATAAAGCGCAGGCTAAAAAAGCCTCAGAAACAAAGTAGTTTTAGGAATCTTCTCAACCTTGATGAGGGGCTCGAAACACCCTGTAAAAAGGAAAGTGATAAGGAGAAGAAAAGAAGACTGAAAAACGAGAAGAGAAGAAAAACAAAATAAAACAAAGGAAAGTGGCAAACTCCATCAATTGAAGCACTAATAAAAAAAAAAGCGCAAGAATTAGATCTGCCTTTTTTCTTTTTATTTTGTCCGCGATACTAGTCGTACTGCAAATTTACCTCTCCTCAGTTTTCCCTTCCTTCCATACGCCTTTCTACATGTCAAACATCCAGAACAGTTTACCCCCATTATATTAAAATTTCCACTGGCTGTCTTCGAGTGTTAGTATTTGAAGTTCCTTCAGTACTTGACGTCGACGTTTGATGCAGGTTCAACGAGATTGACCTTACACGCCTCATGCACGCACGGCATGTTAAAATATTTTTAAAGGCTCTGCGAAAATTATCTAACCTCAACGCATAGACAAATGGGTTTACTCCCGAATTTGTTAACATCAGAACAAACTGAATGTCTCTCACCCAGTGAATAAACACGCAATTGCAATTAGCGCAGAAATTTATGATGTAGATACAAATGCACGATGGAAAATAACACGCTAAAAATAACATCAACACAGTAACAAGCGTCTTTGTGATCTTTTTCTCCCACTTGATCGCTTGCTTCTTCGCCAGATTTTCTTCGGTGCTGTCGTGCAGGTTGTCCCATTGTCTGACTTGAGTTCGCAAGAACTTGAAAATTTTCGAGTTGGTGAAAAGCAACACAGTGAACGTCACGACGACTGCAGTGTTGGCGAAGACGAACCGAAACTTGTCATAGCCTACTGCAAAGTAAATCATGGATAATAAAACAGACACGGTCCAGACACCAGCAGAAACTAATAAACTTCGTTTTGCGTTGAGTTTCGATCTGTAGAATAGAGGATATGTAATAGCGACGTAACGATCTAACGCCAGGGCCGACAGGCTCAGAAGCGAAGCAGTGCAGGAAATGAAAAATGAAACATGCATCGTTTTTCTGAGGGGTCGATTAGGGATTCCAAAACCCTCGTAAAAATGAAAAGCTATACCGAGAGGAGCAGTTATGAGACCAACAATAAGATCTGCCAGACTCAGATTGACTACAAGGTAGTTGAACGGTGATCGCAGGTCCTTGTTGGGGTTCAGGAAGACGACAAGAATCACAAGGAAGTTTCCCGAGGAAGCAACGATGGTGATCAGTGTAGAACAGGAAGCAGTCAAGAAAGACAAATATGTTGGGGCTGTAACATTACTACAAGGATACTTTCCAATGAGCGACATTTTCTAACCAACGGAGGCGTCGTACATGTAGCTTTGAATTTTGACAAATGTTGAATATTACGCGAGCCTTAAAATCATGAAAAAATGTAGGTTTTAGAATATTGGGTCGAGGTATTTTAGCCATCCTTCTTGACCCTTAGTTGATGCTGTAGGATATTTGCTTCAATCAACGAATTCCCACCCTTCGAAGTAATTTTTTTGGAAGAAGGAAAATTCTCCTCATTATCCTCATTACCTCCTTATCCTCATTTGTGAATACAAAATGAGAATGATTATTGGTTATTTTTTTTGAGTCCAAGATCCAACCTGTCTATATTTGCTTTTGCAATCATATCCAATATTTTTTTGACTATTGGATTTTCAATTATTTTCTTTTTATAAGTATCCAAAATAGGATCTAAATAACAGCTCTTGCCGCATTAATAATCAGCTTTTTTTTATTGCTTGCTCAGGCTCAATGAGTACTGATCCTATGTATCCTTCACAAGTATTTTTTATGATGCCAGATAGTAGTAACAATCCACGGCATGAAATTCTTGGTTCTTTTAGTTGGTTTAGTTGCTATAATGCTGATTTTAGAGCGGTTTTTGTTTGCTTTTGTACGACTTTTGACTTAATATTTGAGATAAGTCCCATTTCATTGGTCAACTTTTGTTTACTAAGGCTTACTCTACCATTTGGAGGAATATACAGAGAATATATAGAGATTGTTGTTTGGCTAAAAGACGGATATAGTCTTCCAAATATATATTGTATACAATTATGGAATGTCCGCTGGTTGTTTACTCATTCTCCTCCTCCTCTTCCTCCGTTTCAAAGATTGCACCTAGGACGCCGGTTAATGACATTTGTACTGATTCCAGTGTTTTGGATATTAATTTCTTGTGGTGTAATGTCGCAATCTCTTCTTCCAATTTTTGGATTTTAGTGTATAGTGCATTAAGCTCGGTTTCCTTACTCTGGATTTTAGTATCAAGCTTTCTTATATGATCGTCCATATATACTATTGGTCAGATAATTCTTGCAAGCTGCTTAGTGGAATCCAACTATTAAAGTCGTTGCTGTAGCCCAACCATTTTACAAGAGCTTGTTNGATATTAATTTCTTGTGGTGTAATGTCGCAATCTCTTCTTCCAATTTTTGGATTTTAGTGTATAGTGCATTAAGCTCGGTTTCCTTACTCTGGATTTTAGTATCAAGCTTTCTTATATGATCGTCCATATATACTATTGGTCAGATAATTCTTGCAAGCTGCTTAGTGGAATCCAACTATTAAAGTCGTTGCTGTAGCCCAACCATTTTACAAGAGCTTGTTTTTTTCTTATAATCCCTCCGAATGACTTTTTCGATTCGGAATACATCCTGTTTTGCCGTCAAAAAATCTGGTTCATAAAAGCTGCCTTGTATTTCCTCATTCTTGAGATCCTTTAATCTATAGGTGATTGGATTTGTTGATTGGATTTTATCGATCAGGAATATCTTTTCTGTCCAATTAGGTGTGTACCCTTTATCAAACACCTTTCTCTTGTACTTACTTATCCTAACTTTATCACCATATCTTGAATTTGGGCTTAGACGACAACTACTTCATATCACCATATAGATTGTAATACACGGTATTTTCATTTTTCTTTTTACTAGCTTCTACAGGAGTCATTTTAATGGAACTGTGTTTGGTGTTATTATACTGCTCCACTATTTTTGGTAGTATGTCTAAATATACGGTATTACCCTGGACAGTAAACTGTTTCCACATTTTGGTTTTAATTGTACGGTTCCATCTTTCACACAAACTAGATTTTTCCTCATTCTCGGTTGAGTATAGTGTTATGTCCTTCTTTTCCAATAGTTCCTTGACATTTTTGTTATAATATATTTATCAGTCCAAAGATATTGTGGCTTACGTCCCTCTTTGAATATAGTTTTGAATGCTTCTGTGACAGTTTCCCCTTTCTTATCCTTCAATGGGACAATCCAGCCATATTTGGAGAATAGATCTAGTAGCATGAGAAGATATCTGTAACCCTTGATCCATTTACTGAACTGTTGCATTTCAACTAGATCTGAGCACCAAATTTTGTCAATACCAGTTATAGTAACACGCCGCCGAGTAAAGTTGCGTTTTATTGGTTTATGTTATTCGTCCGCTAATTGCAGTTGCCAACTGATACCCGACGGCTTTTCTAGTTTAAACCAAGACCAAGTTTTTGTTTTGTGTTTATTAGATTTATAGCTAACCAGTGACCCCATTGTCGTTCATTACAGGGAATGGCGTCTAACGATTTTACCATTTTACGGTCAGCTTTATTTTTACACTTTCGGTTATCACCGCAAACACCATAATCAATAGCATGCTGCATGGCTACAGCATCGGTTGGCCCAGTTGGTTGATCATAAATTTCTAATATTTCACCAGTTTCTGGATTGTATCTTACTTGATTTTCGAGATCGTTGAAGGGGCCTGTGTATTTGTCGCCTGGTAAGGTCCATCCACCTTTTGGTTTTGGTAATTTACCAACCTGTTTATGGATATCCAATCCTTTACCCCAACCCATTTCTTAAACAAAAGTATTGTATGATTTATTGTGACCATTTGCTTTTGCTTTTTTATATTGATCTTTGTAATACCTAATAAGGGCCCTAGCATCCTTTACAGGCATTTTTTCAGTTTTTGCAAATAGTTCAGGGTCAGTCAATAATTTGAATCCTTTCTTAAAATCCACATGAAAGGGAGAACCAAATACAACCGATGTTAATGCACTATCAAGTAATCCAGCGCCGTCTAAATCTTTTCTGTTTGTTTTGTAGTTTTTCTTTGGTCGTATTTTGGTTGATAATTGGTCAAGAGCTTGAGAACCAACATCATGTATTTTTGGATTTAATTTATCCAGAGCGTAGTCGATAGCTTTTTTCTGTAATTTAGGGTTTCTTAGAGCCTCTAACCCGTAATATCTTCCCATCTCAACTGCTTTTTTACCCATCCATGGAAGCCCGTGATGTACAAACGGATCAAGAGCAGTACTAGCCACTGTGTCCATTACGCCTGCCCCTAGGACAAGCTGATCTAGTTTCCTTTCTTTAAAAATTTAAACTTTTTAATTCCGCATTCAGTACAAGGGCACCAAAACATAAGTCTACCACTTTTGGCAGTTTTGTAACCCGAAGGTTCTACACATTCTGTTTGCTTCTTCTGTTTAACACAAAAAGATTTCACCATTATTATATATTCATGTTATATAATTATTGTCTAATCACTATCACTACTGTCTGGAACATAAGTATCATGGCTGCTATCTGACTCATAATCACTCTCACTTAAGGGTTCACAGTTGCAGCACTCGAAACATCCATATTGATTAACAAAATGCGGAGTAATTTCTTGGTAATAAACACATAAATTTTCAGTCATCTTATATGTATGGATTACATAAAATAGTTTATCAGAAATTGGTGATTTATCATTTGATTTGTGAAACTGAATTTGGGATTGTGTATAACGTCTAATAATGATATAGGATCTACCCTTTTGTCTCTCCAGAAGGAAATATAAGCACCAATAACCTCATAAAACACTGTCTCTTTCTTGTATTTCATCAGATGAGTACACCATTTTTTTCCCGCTTGTTTTCAGATAATTTTTTATCTCATTGGGCATAATTAATCCGAACGGGTCAAAATATTCATAATATTGTTTATCCACGTTTCTATAACAAATCCAATAACTGCCCCCGCCCATTGAATCATCTAAATTATTTATTTGTTTATTTTGATCTATGTCATATTGTTATTTATAAACTAACTGAGATAGTACGCCTGATCTGATTGGTCAAAAACCTATCGCTTATTATACTGGTAAAGCCATAGAAAAAGGCATCCGGACCACGAGCCATAAACAAAACCGGCTATTGATCTACAAACAACGATTTTAGAAAGGCTAAAAAACAGAACAAGTTACTTACCCAGCCCTTCTTAATATTAAAAGCGTTGGTTTCCACATTTTATTATTAAGCGTCACAATTTGCTACTGCCATAGCTTTAGAAGTTATAAAGTACAAAGCTGGAAAACATTTTACATTTCACGACGATGCCAAATCGCAGAGAAAGACAAAAACTGCGTGAATTTCTGGTGTAGAAAGTCTCTAGGAAAACTTAACCATTTGCCAACCAGCAACAAAACGGATAGTTTTAGCATTCTTGATTTATTTTGTCAAAATTAAATTCCTTAATGAAAGAAATTGTGCCAAAAAGAGATCTCTGATCAAGTTATGGTACAAAATCGGCCGCTGTAGGTTGTAAACAAGCTGCCAACGATGATGAAAGGTGTCAGAGTTTCGGCTGGTTTTTTCCAACATTTGCTCAAATTATTTGGTGATATCGATGCCATAACCTACCTCAAACCACCTGACTTCACGAATCGACAAATATTAGCGCCAATATGTGGCTACGGCAAAGAAATCTTTCTCCACCACTGACATATTTCGATTCCATCGGTCGCTCTACAGGCAGGTACAAAAGTCGGACCGGATCAACTCGGACCGCCAGTCCGGGTCGGATCAACTCGGATCGACTCGGACCAACTCGGATCGAATAAAAAAAATAAAAAATAAATAAAATTGGACTCGGATCAACTCGGATCATAAAAAAAAACAACTCGGATTCTAAAAAGAAAAATAAAATCAGTCGGTATCACTTAACTTTCACCCGCCATTTTGTTTTTTTCTCACGAACTCGTGGCTGCGTAGATTAATTTTATTTTTATTCTTATTAATTTTAATGATACACTAGTGAGCAGCACACATACATTTCCAGTGAACGTTTTCAACTTGGAAGGAGGAGAAATCATGGTCGCCCGGGACAACGAAAATTTTCCTACCCCAGGCGAGAATTGAACTCACGACCCTCCGAATACCACATGTTTATCGACGTTCCAACCACTGAACCGGAGGGTCGCGAGTTCTATTCTCGCCTTGGGCATGGAAATTTCCTTTGTCCCGGGCGAGTCAAGAAAGACAAATATGTCGGTGCTGTTACATTACTACAAGGATACTTTCCAATGAGCGACATTTTCTAACCAGCGGAGGCGTCGTACATGTAGCTTTGAATTTGACAAATGTTGAATATTACGCGAGCTTTAAACGCATGAAAAAATGTAGGTTTTAGAATATTGGGTCGAGGTATTTTTAGCCATCCTTCTTGACCTTTAATCGATGCTGTAGGATATTTGCGTTAAACAACGCATTCCCACCCTTCGAAGGAATTTTATTTCGAAGAAGGAAGATTTCATTTCATTTTATTGGTTAATTCAGATTTTAACAAGTTTATTTTCACACGGTCCACAAATAGCAAAGACTAGTCTAGGTGGGCAGTGTCTATATAAAACAAAATACGCACTCCAAATGGTATTCAATTGACAAGTCAACAAAAGTAATTTATATAAATTGAAGAAAAGTTACTTCTTTGAGATGTGCATGTTGTCTTCAACCATGTTTCGTTCCAATTCTTTGTTCACCAGCGGAGCTCAGAACTGCCTGACCACTTTCCACGTACACGTAGCTACAATGATTGCCGGGAGATGTGAGGCGCTACGGTGTAATGAGTATTTGAACAGTTCAATCATCAATCCTTAGATTAGAAATCGACGCTGATTGACAGGTAAAATATTTCAGTGCTAAATAATTCCCCTTTTTTGTTTATTTTTCATTTATTTATCGGTTATTTTATTTATTTGTTTATTTTGATCTATGTCATATTGATGATTATTGTAATCATAATAGTAAAACAAACAAAAAAACTCTTCCGGTTGTTGTGGGGAAAGGTGAATGTCGTCTACAAGAAGAATTAAATTGAGAACTGTGAGATTAATTTTGTTTTCCTCTCGCGGGTAATTTCAACATCCAAACTACTGACTCTGGTGAAAAAATCAGGCTACATAGAGAACAAAAGAACTTCAGCCGCATAAATAGCGTCATAGTCTTAAGTCAATCTTCTTTAACAGTTTCTATTTTCTTTGTATATTCAACAGACGTCTGCTTGTCCTCCACCAGCATTAGTATTCGATCGTTCATCAGTGCTTAATGTAGATAATTGCGTCAGATTTATTGAGATTGACGTACTCGACGAAGGCATGCACGGCACGTCAAGATACTCCTAAAGACTTTGCGGAAGTTCTCTAACCTTAATGCATACACGAACGGATTTACTGCCGAACTTGCCATCACGAGAACAAACTGAGTGTCTCTGACCCAGCGCAAAAATTGATGATATAGATACAAATGCACGATGGCAGATAACAAGCTAAAAATAACAGCAATACAATAAAAAGTGTCTTTGTGATCTTTTTTTCCAACTTGATCGCTCGTTTCTTCGCCAAGTTTTCCGCGGTAGTGTTATGCAGGTTGTCCCATTCATTTACTTGTACGCGGAGGAAACTGAAAGTTTTTGAGTTGGTAAAAAGTAGTACAAAAAATGTCACAGCGACGGCAGTATTCGCGAAGATGAAACGTAACTTTTTGTAGCCTACCACAAAATAGGAGACCGATAATGAAATGGAGATGATCCAAACAACAAGAGACACTAAGAATGTTCGAACCGGGTTGAGCTAGCTTCTGTAAAATAGGGGGTGCGTAATGGCAACGTACCGATCTAATGCCAAGGCTGCTAGGCTCAGAAGTGAAGCGGTGCAGGAGATAAAATTAACTACACGCAGCGTATCTTCTAGGTACTTATTCCGGAGACTGAATCCCTCCTTAACATGCTGGGCTGCGCTCAGGGGAGTAACGATTACGCCGAAAACAAGATCTGCAAAGCTCAGATTGGCTATAAAGTAGTTGAAAGGCGATCGCAGGTCCTTGAAGGGGTTTAGGATAACAGCAAGAATCACAAGGAAGTTTAAAACAGTCGCGATGAATGCAATGAGTGCGGAGCAAGAGGCCGTTGAGAAAGATAAATATGTCGGCGCTGTGGTATTGTCACATGGATACTTTTCAAAGAGAGGCATTTTTTGTTTTTACAAATAGTCAGCAGCCACGATGATCTAAAAAACGCGCAGCAAAATTTCAGAATACGAAATTTTCCCGCCGGGGCTCGGTTTCTACACTTGGTGTTGCGACAGCTGGCAGATAAGCTGTGACCGATTCCTTTATTTATTTTTAGATCTGCCCTTGGCAAAACGACCCCTTGGAATTATGCTCACATTCACTGCATTCACGAGGTGCATCAGTAATCAAGGCTTGCGGGTGCCTTGAAAGAGGCATTTAGCAGAATTTTTTCGTTTTTAAGGTGGGGTGATTTTATTAGGCACCCTACCATTTATAATAAGAATTTTGGGCTTTATGGCTACTTCAAAGTATAAATAATGATACAACACAGGTTAAACGTCGTTATGACGTTAAACTGTCAATCATGTCATATTGTCAATCAACCTAGATCCAGAAGATTCCCAGATGTAACGAATCATGAGTACATTCGGTAGGCCGATATCGCTAGCGGTTGTAAAGTTATAACATAACATAACATTTTATTAGCAATTCCCATATACAGAAATGGTATTGCTTTTAAACTATGACAATTTTGATTTTAATAATATTTTAAATAATAAAATAAACAGGTAGTATTAATTTAAAGTTATAAATAGAATTCTCTATTTCCCATGTTTTTGTTTTATGGAATAAAATTCTCTAAGTTGAAATTCCTCATAGACATTGTAGCCAAGTTTTTTACAAATTACATATCGATCAATATTGTAAAAAGAGATATAACATTTTCCTGCTTGTTTGAGTCTACGAATTTGCAGTACTTGGCTTCTACGTCCAGAAAAAAACTGGTGTCTTAAATTGTTAATATATAAATTGCATTCAAATAGAACATGAATTTCATTCTCTACTTTCTTCGACGAGCAAAGCTGACATGTCCTTAGGTTCTCAGCAATTTTAGGAGGATGGTAGTAACAGTTTCAGTTCTAAACTGTGATTACTTGATCGTATTTTTTTCTTCTGCCTGGTCTTTTCGTTTTTAATAAGGTCTAAATATTCTGATCTGCTCACATCATTCTTAAAAGTGGAAAAGAAATTCAATTTTTTGTAAGATCGCAACATGTTCGTTTGATCCTTTTTAAAGTAATCTATGATAGCCAGCTGTTTTATTTTTGGCAGCCTCGAGCTCACTAATTTTGGCTCTCGAGTGAGTATACTAGAGAACTGTAATTTATTAGTAGAAGTGTTACAGTGTCTAGGTTCATGATCTCGTGAAAAGACAGCATGAAAGATGGCTTTCCATTGTTTGCTAGTTGACTTGAATGTAAAAGGCATGGGTTTGCAATACTAATGTTAGATTTAAATGATAATCTTCCTGCTTCATTATGAGATATAACGTTTGTAGCTCTGCTATTTAGGCCAATGAAATGTTTGTAAAAATGTGTGTGAATTTTTTCAATGGGGTCTTTTTCCCATTTTTTAGAATCAGTTCTGTCATAAGCACCCTGTACCTCAGAACTGTACAATAATATAGGAAGAAATAGGGCATCAAAAAACCGAACATTATGGCGCGGCATAATGTAATTTATATCGAGGCGTGGTACGCACGTGATATTCCGCTGGGGTTGGCTTGTACCAGGCACGGATTTGATACTAGCATTAGTTTGGCCGATCAGGTTTAAGTAGGTCACATGCCTAGTATATGAAAGACAGTTCCAGCGAGATATTTTTTCTTCCTCCTCTCGCCATCAGATTGAATAGTTCCCCAGAAAAACTTTTTCCCGCCTCCTCCCCATTTCACCACCTCCCAGCGATTTATCACGTTTAATCCATCCTGTCGGTTCGATAGTATCACTTTTTAAGGCTGGCGGTATTTTGTCGCCCCATTTGTGAACAAGGCATCATATACGAAAATGTTTACTGCTATGTTTGCATTTTGCTAATTGTTCGATTAAAACTAGCCACAATCGTGGCCAAATTTATTCCAACAAAGTGGTTTCTTATTGTTTATTGTTTATTGTTTTGTTTGCCAAAAATTGTACAAATCAAATAAAATCTAATTACTTAAACTCTCATGGCGAGGAAGCCCAAGAGAAGCCACCGGGCTTATAAGGAATGGGCTCCCTCAGTT